AAGTGCATCTGGGCCCATGTACACCACAATGCAAAGGGTATGGCCAATGCATACATGTACATGACACAGATGCACTACCTTATTCTTTTTTCCTTGAGTGGGAAGCATGACATCGAATCTTAAAGCAAACCTGACACTCAGTAAAGCTAGAAACAAAAAGGCTTAAGCCTTTTTAAAATAAGCCTATTTTGAAATAAATGTACTTAACGTGTCAAGACCAAGGCTCTGTCCCATAAAAACTCTAGAATGGGCTCTTATATTCTTCATTATGTCCTCACAGAAGTCATTTCAGAAAGGTTATTTCACTCTTTGCCATTAGCATGATTAATGGTTAGATATCAGTATCAGTTACCTGTACAAAAAATCAGACCCCCCCAAAAAATAATTGACAATATTTGCTATGAAAAGACTCATGTTACCTACCTCTGTACAAGTTATGATTTAACTCCGGAAGTTGAAGCGCCTCTTCTGCATGCCAACCATCTCTTTAGCTGCAGCACTGTTGCTGACAAAGGGTCTGTTTCAAACTTTGCACCTGGAATATCATCCTCCGTTAAGGATGATGCCCTGATTGTGTTACACATTCTGCACGTTCTGTAAGTAGGGAGATGAAAGCTAGATTTATAAATTTGAGTTGTTATAATCTGAAAAAAGTCAGTTTCTCCCAAGGCCAACAGCAACATGCTCTTTATTGCACTTTTTAAACAATTAAATAAATTTTCAAATATTTGTGAGAGGAAAAATCACCCTTGATTGTCTTTTTTTAAGGGCACAAATCATTCCAGGCTGAAAATAATGTGATTAGTCAATGCAGGATGAATGAGCTACAAGTCATGATTTTGATTGGGCAATAGTATTCACGATCTCAGTCAAGGCATGGTCTATGACCAGATTGTATTGTTGAAGGGATTCCCTGAATTTGTCTTTTCTGCCATGCTATACTTCAAAGTTTGTAAATACATGTATCTTCATCCCAAATCTATAATGCAACACTGTGAGAAGAGGATGACTTGAACTGGAGTATGAAATAAAATGGTAACAGATTGTTTTGCAGGTACACTTCACCCTTAGGGTTGTGCGTAAAATGTATTGCTTGCTTGTCATCCAAACCCATAATGCATTGCAAAACAACAAAAGGTTTATTATAGGTAGGAGAATGACTAAATGAGTGAGAGCACTGTTTATTGGAAACTCATTTTCTTAAATAGTCTTTTTGCGAGCAGTTCCATTTTCAAATTTTTTGAAATTTGAAGTAAAGCCTGCATTTGATTCATTGAAATAAGGCACAAATAAGAACAAAGATTTTACAAAAACATAAATGTTAAGCTTTCAGTTAAAGTCCACACTCATTTTTGTGTACAAAATAATCACAGTTTGCTTTGCATTACAAGTGTACAAAACACATCTCAAAACATCCCCACTTCAAACAGATTTTTCTTTGCTTTGCAGAGTCCGACAGAATCCAACTTTATACCAAAATATTTCTTATGACATCCTCTTCAAGATAAAATCAGTAGAGCGATGTAGGCCCTATAATCGGGACGCTAATAAAATTAATTCAAAAATGTATTAATTTATGTTGCGGAGTGGTACTAGGCCTAAGCCTAGGATGGTTTCAACAAAAAGCCTAGCCTTGCCCAGCAGTTGCACATGGTGCAGCTTACAAAGAAGAGAGGGACTGCAAAAATATCCAGGACTTTTCTCAGGGTAGGCCTGGGCTATATTCTGAACATTGAAGTGTCTCATGAAGTTGTTGCATTAGGCCTGTATCTTACCAAACTATTTAGAGATACTTACCAAAGCTTCACGCACAAAATACTACAAATGGAGTCATCCAGCTTTTAGCGAACGAGGCCTGTTCCCCCCTTGGGGTAGATGTCAAGTGCCAAGGCTAGTCAGCTGTATGTACAGTGTACATGTACATGTAGATGTAGTGGAGGTCGCACAAAAACTTTCCTTCCTAATCCTATCCTTGACAACATAACCCCCGGAAGTGAAAAATTCGGTTTTCGACAGCGTCCCCAGCGTTCATAGATACGGCTCATTGGGGCACAACAAAAAGCAAAAGGCGACGGACGACGGCAGATATGGAATTCCATACGATGGGCCTTTTGCACCGACTAGGAAAAGTACCATAGGCCTACATTGGCCTACTTACACCGTGCCAAAACGTGAGCAAGCCCTGAAAACAAAAAGTGGTTTTCAACGTACCTGCATCAGTTGACCATCTTTTGAGTTGTTTTTGTGGGAAAATGGTACCATATGATGTCCCACGCTTCACCAATGACGTCCTTTTTGTGCTGAAAATCAAAGATTGTATAGCGTAGCGCTATACAATCTTTGCTGAAAACCGTGAAGTTTCACAAAACTTCGAACGCAGCAAGATCATCGCGGGCCGGGCCGGGCCGGACGAACGTTGTACAGCGCCCTCAATTGGAAAAGGCCTAGTAGTGCTAACAAGATCAGACTACTTGAGCTTCAAGCTCGTCCGAGCATTGGTCCAAGTCACTACACACGACGTACACGGAGCAGTGACTTGGAGGTCAAGTAGTACGAGAACCGCGCTCTCGTCGACGTCGCGTCAAGTTTGTGATTGTGCACGTTGCAATAGGGAGAGGCTCCTCCCCCATCTCCTCCTGGGGAAAGAGAAAATAAAAGTGGGTGAAAATCGCAAATGGGATTTGAAACTGTTTTGCGTAATCCCTGCTTTTGCCACTGACCGGGGTTTCTTTGAACATTTTTCCAAATCAAAGGGCCCTCTTTCATTTTCATCTATAGGCCTATCACAGTTTTGATATTAGGGAAAAGTAAGTAAATCAAATCCAATTAAATACTTGAAAATACCTCGGCGTTAACACCCTTCTACCTTTAATTTTTTTTTTCAGTTTAATGCTGATGAATGCAGTGCCCTCCCTATCCCAGGAGAAATGCCAACACCTATGCCTAACAAGATCCATTTCAGAAAATGAAATATTTCCACAATATAATTCGATGTAAATCGGAGACTTATGTTTTTTTTCTTATCTTATTCTTTTGTTCAGGAAAACAAATTGAGCTATACCTTTTCTTCATATTCCTTGGGGTTACTCATTCAATCATTTTTCCTTTAATAGCTTCTTAAATTTCCGGAGCACTTTTCAATGAGAGAAATCCATAAGGCATAACTTCCAGGTTTCTTACAAATATATAAGTATCTTAAGAGGAACAGAAAGTTGCAAAACAGGAGTAATAAAGTGCAGTTCAAATCATGGACATACTATTAATGTCTCAGGCTACATATTTTATTTCATTCAATTAAAATCCTCCGACTATTACACTGATTACAGAAATTACAAAAAGTACATGGAATACTACTCTAGACTTCAAAATCATTTTGTGCACACAAATTCCCTTGGTTTGCCTCAAGTGTATTGGCCATACAAGATCAAATCTGTATTCTCTAACCCATATTTCTCCGAACTGTCTAAAAGGCAAAGGGCTTGTATTTATTTTACATAAGCCTGACACATAAACAAGCCCATTTTTGATTGGTGGACCATTTTGGAATACAAGATACATAGACCAAAGGCACTTAGAAGTTTCCTGAGGGAGACTGGACCTGTTCAGTACTAAAGCCTTAAGCTTTCTATTTTATTCTTCTATCGCAAGGTGTTGCCATCTTAAGACTCAAATCTGTGACTTTCACGACCAGGTATGGCAAATCAGATAGTGAATCTTCTGTTTATGAAAAAAAATCAAACGAGTGGAAATGAAGAAACATGAATAGCAATTTACTTCTCAAATCTTCCACCCCTTTCCTCTTGTCCACTTGCAGGTGGGTACAATTTTGGCCAAAAATTTCAACTCTTGAAAATGGTAAGATATGGCCATCAACACAGCCAAATACCACAAATGATTTACACGAGTCATCTGAAGAGTATTTGTAACACATTCTTATCACAACCTCATACTTTCCAACAATATGAGACATGCCCATGGAGTGGTACATACTACAACAGGGCCACATATGCATGGCTGCCAAGTTCACATTCAACACACAGACTTCTCAGACTTTGTGTGTGCTTGAAAAACAAAACAAACAGAGCATTGACATGTTTGTCAGTCGAGTTGATCGAGTCAAGGTATGCTTGAAGTTTGAAACCATTAGCATTACTTGTGTATATAGATGGCAAGATCATGGCTACATCCAAAGTGGATTTAGAAAAAAAAAATAAGAGCATATCTTGTTCTAATACAGACATTCAAAGAAAAGGGACCTTCAAGTTTAAGAGTTGCTGTTGAACCTCCCCCTTCCCATTTCATTTGATTTCTCTTTGGCAAGCAGCGACCCTAACAACATACATGTAAATATCCATTAGTCTGTTTTCCAAATTAGTAGTCTAATTTATTTTGGCAAAAGCTTTGTTCAAGTCATGAAAGAGACAATAGGCAAGGACAGTTGTGTGCAGGAAAAAAGAGATTTTTTCCAGAAGCACCTGATGTGAAGCTCCTATCAGAAATACAATTTTAAGCTTGATTTAGTTACATTTACTGGCTATGAGTACAGTTGACATCTTCATTCCGCAAACCGAGATATGGAATGTGTTTCAAAACATAAAATTCACATTTGCATTACACTTTTATTTGTTGTTTGCATCGTACAATTTTTGTTTTAAATCTGCATTTGTACACATTCTGAGTCAATTCATCTGCAGTCTT